CTCCATTGAGTCCAGAGCTCACCAATTTGGCTAGTCTGGCTATCCAGCGTGGTCCAGGAGGCCAGTCTTGGATTCTCAAGCACTGACACTACAGGTGGGTTGTGATACCACTAGCATTTACATGGGATCTGGGCATCTCAAGCCTGGTTTTGACACTTGTGCAGTAAGAATTTTACCCACTGAGCCATCTCCCTAGCCCCAAGGCCAGGCTATTTTAAAACAATTTTTGTGTTTATGTAATTGAAGGATTGATTAACTCACACTCCATGAAGCCCTACTCCAGTTATATTTAAATAATATGTATTTGGCTTCTTGTCTAGTGGAAACAGTGAAGTGTTTTTCTTGACTGGTAACAGCTGCTACAGCTGTTATTTTCCCATTATATACAATCATAAGTGTTTGTCTTCTGTATTTTGTAGTTGTAATGGAAGAGCTTTTATTTCCTGAAGAGAATGAAGACTTTTAAGGGAAAATGAATTGATTATGTAGATACTACATATAACAGAGAAATTGCACTAAGATTAAAATGTACAATTCTGTGAATTTGAGGCCAGCCTGATCTACAGAGCAAGTGAGTTCCAGGACAGCCAGGGCTACACAAAGAAACTCACCTCAAACAAACAAAGAAACAAACAAACCAACCAAAACCAAACCAAAACAACCAAAACATACAATTCCAAAGTGTCTCTTATATAACACAATCAGTGTTTTAAGCTTAGAGAATTCAGAGACCATATACCTTTACTCTAGTCTTTTCCTGACAAATAAACTAAGACACAGGATAATGCAAGAAATCCACAGATGTCTGGGAAGAAGACTTATTTATTAAGGAGTAAAACGAGGATCACACTCACGAATACAGAAGAAGTAAATGCCGCTGCTGATCCAGCTGCCATTCTGCCATGAATGATGGGGACCAACTGCAAGCCACTCTCTGCCACTTGATCCATCTCCAACCACCCAAGAGAGCAAGCAACCCCTTTTCTCAGCTCTTAAGTGGTCATGAATCTGTTGAGATTTGCTTTGTGACTGAGTATGTGGTCGGCTTTAGAGAAGGTTCCATGGGGTGCTGAGAAGAAGGTATATTCTTTTGTGTTAGTGTGGAATGTTCTGTAGATACCGATTAAGTCCATTTGAGTCATATCATCAATTAGGTCCCTTATTTCTCTATTAAGTTTTGATCTGGTAGATATCTGTCCAGTGGTGAGAGTGGGGTGTTGAAGTCTCCCACTATTAATGTGTGGGGTTTGATGTGTGATTTAAGCTTTACTAATGTTTCTTTTACATGTGTGGGTGCATTTGGGGCATAAATGTTCAGAACTGAAACTTCCTTTTGGTGGATCTTTCCTGTGATGAGTATGTAATGTCCTTCTTGATCTCTTTTGAATGATTTTAGTTTGAAGCCTACTTAGTTAGATATTAGGATAGCTACACCAGCTTGCTTCTTAAGTCCACTTGATTGGAAAGACTTTTTCCAGCCTTTTACTCTGAGGTAGTCTCTGTCTTTGAAGTTGAGGTGTGTTTCTTGTATGCAGCAGAAAGATGGGTTCTGCTTTTGTATCCATTCTGTTAGCCCATGTCTTTTAATAGGTGAATTAAGTCCATTGATATTAAGGGATATTAATGACCAGTGATTGTTAATTCCTGTTATCTTTTGGTGGTAGTGTGTGTGTATTTCTTTTCTTTGGGATTTGCTGCTGTGGGATTATCTATTGCCTGTGTTTTTGTAGGTGTATCTGACATTCTGAGGTTGGATTTTTCCTTCTAGTGCTTTATGTAGGGCTGGATTTGTAGATAGGTATTGTTCATATCTGGTTTTGTCTTGGAATGTCTTGTGAACTCCATCTATGGTGATTGAAAATTTTGCTGGGTATATTAGTCTGGGCTGACATCCATGGTCTCTTAGTGTCTGCATTACATCTGTTCAGGATCTTCTGGCTTTCAAAGTCTCCATTGAGAAGTCAGGTGTTATTCTGATGGGTCTGCCTTTATAAGTCCCTTGGCCTTTTTCCTTGGCTGCTGCTCTTAATATTCTTTCTTTATTCTGTATGTTTAGTGGTTTAATTATTATGTGGCAAGCAGACTTTTTGGGGGGTTCTAGTCTATTTGATGTTCTATAAGCTTCTTGTATTTTCATAGGTATTTCCTTCTTTAAGTTGGAAAACTTTTCTTGTATGATTTGAATATATTTTCTGTGCCTTTGAGTAGGCATTCTTTTCCTTCTTTTATCCCTATTAGTCTTAGGTTTGGCCTTTTAATGGTGTCCCAGAATTCTTGGACATTTTGTGTTATGACTTTTTTGGCTTTGATGTTTTCTATTTGCAGATGATATGATAGTATACCTCAGTGACCCCATGAATTTGACCAAGGAACTCCTACAGCTGATAAACACCTTCAGTAATGTGGCATGATAATTATGGGTTGAGTTAAGTTATAAGAGTTAGCTAGTAAGAAGCCTGACTTATAGGCCATGCAGTTTGTAAATAATATTAAGCCTCTGAATGATTATTTTATAAATGGCCTGGCAGTACCAGAGAAAACTTCCACCTACAATAATTAGTTTTTAAATTTCTTTATATATTTTGGAGATCATCCCTCTGTCAGATATGGGGTTGATGAAGATCTTTTCCCATTCTATAGGATGCCATTTTGTCTTGTTGGCTGTCTCTGTTGCCTTACAGAAGCTCCTAGGAAAGTTGGGAACCACTGCTTTAGAATGCTTATGTGCTTCTAGAGCCAGTCACTTTGTATTACTGAGTTCTTTGTTGTCCTTCACTATACTCTGTGGTGCCAGAAGGTGGCTAATTTTATCATGAAGCTCATCCCTTTCCTTTGTCAGTTTATTCAGAGGTGTTAGGAGCAACCAGCCAGCATCACTATTTTCATTATTTTTCCACAAATTGTCAGAAGTTTTATATAGAGTTGCCAAATCTGTTGCCTCTCACATTTGGTGAATCAGGGTAATCAAATGTGTTTTTCCCCCTTAAAGTTTATAAAACAGTTGACAAATAGACTTTCAGTACTTTCTCAGTTCCCAGGAGAGTCTTCAATAACTAGAGGGGCTTCAGTAACTATAGGTTTGGCAAACTGGGAAGCCTATTCCAGACACTCAAAACATGGCTTTCTCCTTGTCTTGTTGTATCTTGTTTTGTCCTGCCTGACTGTCATCTATTGGAGATCTGCTCTTTTCTGATAAGGAAATGGAGGAGGAGTGAATCTGGGGGAGAGAGGAAGTGGGGAAAGTGAAGAGGAGTGGAGGGAGGGGGAACTGTGGTTGGGATGTAAAAAATAATCCTTATACTTTTGTTGCTTTAGAAACACTTCTGATATCAAAATCTGTACTAGTTAGAGTTCTCTAGGGTAACAGAACTTTTAGAATGAATCTCTTTCTATACATAGAGAAAGGGGATTTATTAGAATGGCTTACAGGCTGTGGTCCAGCTAATCTAACAATGCCTGCTTATGAATGGAAGGCCTAAGAATCCAGTAGTTGTTCAGTCCATGCAGCTGGATGTCTCAGTTGGTCTTCAGTAGGTGCTGGAATCCTGAAGAAGAATATTGCTGTGGGATGGTATGTATGTCAAATTGCTCTGATTGGTCAATAAATAAAACACTGATTGGTCAGTGGCCATTCAGGAATTATAGGCGGGACTAACAGATAGGAGAATTGAGAGAACAGGAAGGCGGAGGAAGACACTGCCAGCCGCTGCCATGACAAGCAGCATGTGAAGATGCTGGTAAGCCATGAGCCACACGGCAAGGTATAGATTTATAGAAATGGAATAACTTAAGATGTAAGAACTAGATAGCTATAAGCCTGAGCCATTAGGCCAAACAGTTTAAATAATATAAACGTCTATGTGTTTATTTTATAAGTGGGCTGTCAGACTGCCGGAGCTTGGTGGGACCTGGAAAGAATCTCTCCAGCTACAGAATATAATGCCAGTGAATGAACTGACTTGCTAGTAAAAGCCAGGGAACGAGAGAGAGAGAGAGAGAGAGAGAGAGAGAGAGAGAGAGAGAGAGAGAGAGATTCTTCTATGTTCTTCACATAAGCTCTCTGCAGAAGGTGTAGCCCTGATTAAAGGTGGGTATTCTCACCTCAAAGCTCCAGATTAAAAGTATGTCTTCCAAGTCAAATAATTCAATCAAGAACAAAATCCCTCATAGGTGAGCCTAGCCATTTAGATTTTAGTTAATTCCAGATGTAGTCAAGTTGGTAACCAAGAATAACTATCACCAGACCTGAACAGAAAGTTCTCAAAAGAAGGAGCACAATGATTAATGAATATTTTCAAAAGTTCATGTCCTTTACCACCAGGAAAATTTAAATTAAAAACATTTTGAGGTTCCCTCCCACTCTAGTCCATAAAATATCATCAAGAAAATAAATGACAAAAAAATGCTAATAAGGAGGCCACGAAATGGGCACACTTACTGTTGCTAGGTTGTAAACTGATGTCACCATAATGAAAATCAGTGTGGAAGTTTCTCAAAAAGCTAAAAATATAGGTGTCTCATGACTAAGTTCTAACACTGCTGGGTTTATACCCAAAGGACTCTATATCCTACTACAGAGATACTTGCATGTGTATACACCTTGATGGTGCATTTGGAACAGATAGAAAATAGAACCAGACTAGACATCCATCAGATGATTGATGTATAAGGAAAATTATAAGGAAACATATTCATTATAACTTTATTCAGCTGTAAAGAAAAATGAAGTTTGTAAGAATACAGATAGAACACAAGCACAGAATTGCTGTCCTGAAACTCAATCTGTAGATCAGGCTGGCCTCAGACTCATAGATCTACCTACCTCTGCCTCCAGAGTGCTGGAATTAAAGGCATGCACCACCACACTCAGCCCTAAGCCTTTCTTTAATTTCCTTTCACAAGTTGGAAGCTTATCTGTGTGTGATAGTGCCCTGAGGTCACCACTCCCTTTATTCCATTTAACATCATGCTTTTCTTTTTTTTTCTTTTTTTTATTTTTTACTTTTTTATTGTGGCAAATATACTAAACATAAAATTTAACCTTTTGACCATTTTTTTTTCTTTTTAAACATTACACTGAAATTCAACAATGTAGAAAACATGTATAACATATAAGTAAATTCCTTACATTTCATGAACTGAACACACACTCTTGTATCCAAATTCTGGACCAAGAATTGAACAGTCCAACATTTCATAAAAGAAAAGGAACATATTGAGAAGGAGAATTTCTATGAAAGAATCCTACATGAGAATTATAATGGAGGGAAAGAGGCGATGTCTCCCAATGAGTGTGCATGAGCTCTGTAACGCACCAAGAACAGGTTCAGGGACACTTGAGAGCGATGCCTGTGTCACTGTTAAAAAGCTTTGGTGGACAGTCATTTGGGATGTACTAGATCAAGGCCAGTCAAACAGGTTTACCCACTGAGGCAAGCTTTGAAAATTCAGATTCTAGGTCTTACGCCTAAACATTCTTAAGTTAGAAGAAGAATGAAGAAAAGGGAGTCTGCCTACTTCCTTTTCAATATGGTAAAAAAATAAAATAACATTCATCACTTTAACCCTTTGCAAGAGGACAGTTGAGGTTCATTAATGTCCACAATGTTATGCAACCATCATCGTTCTCTAATTCTAGAACTTACTCACCCCAAACAGAAACTTTGCACGTGTTACATAAGACACCAATTTTCCCTCCCCCAGGTCCTGTTCCTCTCTTCTCTTTTGTGCCTGGAGGAACTTGCATATCATATCCTAGGTGCCTCGTGTACGCCCAATCTCCCAGGACTGACTTCTGTGGTATGTTCACTGCACAGAGAGTAAGTTTCCCAAGGCACATCCATGCTACAGCATGTGTCGCAGTTCAATCCTCTGACAAGAGAATAATCCCACTGCCTGAGAAAACCACATTGCTCTATGTAACGGCCGGTGGATGGACACCTGAGTCGTTCCTAGCTCTTGTTATCTGAACACACTATCAACTCTGGTGTACAAGTATCCACGTTGTAACACTTCCCAAACCACCTTCACGTATTTTTGTTTTACAAACTATGGGAGATACTTTACAATTTACAGATCAAATGAAAATTAACAATAACATACACTATAAATAACTCAAGGCTTTATTATAAGCATTAACAGCTATTCATACTAAAGAACCAAGAATAAAGAAATAAAAAAAAACTGGAATGTTATCAACATTACTCGGGCATAGATAAGCATATAGAAATATTTTGTTAATTGTTAGACTAGAAAAATATAAATGATGGAATTATATCAATTATTTTGTGCTTAATCTTCCTGAACGTACTTTTAGTATTAAGTACATGAAAAGTGCATACAATTATTTAAAGATAATGCCTTTTTCTTTTGTCAGTGCTAGGAATCAAACCCAAGGCCTCATGCATGCTAGGCAAGTACTCTACCATTCGGAGACAACACTAGCCTTAAAATTATGCCTTTTTTTAAAGCAAACAAAACATGCATATCTTTGGTTACTCTGAACTAGTTTAGTGGTCAGTGTGGCATTCAGTGCTTTAAGCCCACATTCTTGACAGACTGGCTGCTGGACGATCGGTCACATTCTTTAGTAATTTCCATCTCGACTTTGGCTTTGATTTTCTCCCAGTCTATTTGGAGACCTTCTGCATATTGCAAATATCATTTATTAGTTTCCTGTTTACCAAATGTCTCCAAAAATTTTTGACGATAAGCAAGAACTGTATCAACATGGGTTTTGTATTTTACAGCCAACTCCAGTGCCCTTTCCCAGTTATAGAGATTAATGTTGATCTGGATTGCTTGATAAATGAGGCCAGCCTGGAGAAGTAATGTCTCAGCCTCCTGTATGTTCCCACTAAACATTAGTATGTGGGCCATTTTTGACTCCTTAGATGGAAGATCTTTTATAGCATTGATGTATCTAACTTTATCAATTTCACCAATTGCCGCGTAGGCTATCTCCGCAGTAATCATATCTCGATTAGCAATCACCATAGCCGCCAGGCAAGCCCACATGCTTTGCTCCTTAACAAAGCGGCAAAGCCTTACAGCATCTTCCCACTTTGAGCTGCTCACATATTCATGGAGGATGGCAGGGTATGGTGATATGCTGATGTGAAAGCCATCAGCTTTCCTTATAGTCACCTGATTTCCAACAAAACTCACTATATGGGGGTTTTTACTATATTCACTTGCATCTCTTTCATACAATGTTTTAGGCAAAATTTCTCTGTCCACATAAATGGTATTAGGGTAATACCACACTGTGAATCGAGTATCTTGAAGTCCACAGAGGATATTGCATGTATCACACCATGCCAACGTATGCACCATGGTTCCAAGTTTAATAATCTGTTCTTCTTTCCCAAATCGTTTCACTGAGGTGATGTAGAGGTCTCTATTTTTATCAATGAAAGCAATTTTTCTGTCATTGGTGAGTCCTTTTTGATCCAGAGCAATTTCTGAGATTTCATTCTTATGAGAAAGAAGTTTCCCATCCCCTAAGGGTTTTCCAGTTGATGCTTCAAAGAGGAAGATTATTTTTTCATCAGCCTTGTCTTTGATTGCTATAGTGTCATTACTCAGAGACACAGTCTGTGCATTCAGGATATCTGTTCTCATTCCAGGAAATTTTGGAGAAGAAATGAAGCGCCCTTCATAAGAATGCAAATAGATACCACCACCATCTACCAGAAGAAAATGTCTTTCTGCCTGGAGAATTAAACTAACAGTTCCTTCTTTGAGATCAAATATAAGTGGTGTATTCCAGTTCTTCGTAGAGAACACGTAGCACTGGAGGGACGTTGAGACGACTAAGTGTGCATGGTTCAAAGAAGCTTTGATGACCCTGTCTCTGAACTCCAGTAAGTTCACAGCATCATTGAGAACATTACAAACCTGCATGGTCCTCCTCTTCGTCAGCGTTACCTGGAAGTTCCTCCACTCCCAGCGCTGCTCCACCATGTGCGCAAAGACCACATGGCCGTTCCCACAGGCCCCCGCGATCTCCATGCTTTTCTTTAATCTGTTCATCTCCTTCAACACAGTTTTTTTGCTCCATTCCACTTCCTGGTTCCCCCCTTCTCCTTGAACTATATATTTTGTATTTTTCTTTGCACAGATTGCTCCTTTTCATTATAGATCTCCATAAGAGTGAACATTAATAACCACATGACAGAGTTGATACTAGGCTGTTTTGAAATTTCCTCTGCTAATGCAACTAATCCAAAACTTCAATTTAGCCTCAGGCAGACATTTGAGACAAGGAAAAATGCCCTAAATATTTTTCTCCTCTGAAACCTCTTGAGCCAGGTCTTTACAATTCAAATTACCCTTAGCACAACTGTCTTCCATGTTCCTACTAGTATGGCCCATTAAGCCCCACTTAAAGTGTTCAGCTTCTTTTTCCAACCCAAAGTCCCAAAGTCCACATTTCTCCAAACAAAAATATGGTCAGGCCTATCACAGAAATACCCAAATCCATGGTGCCAACATGTGTCTTAGTCAGGGTTTCTATTGCTGTGAAGAGACACCATGACCATAGCAACTCTTATGAAAGAAAACATTTAATTGGGGCTGTCTTACAGTTTTAGAGGGTCAGTCCATTATCATCATGGTGGGAAGCATGGTGGCATGCAGGCAGATAAGGTGCTGGAGAATGAGCTGAGAGTTCTACATCTTGATCTATAGGTGGCAGGAAGAGACAGGACACACTGGCTAGTCTTGAGCATCTGAGACCTCAAAGTCCATCCTCAGTGACACATTTCCTCCAACAATACCAGATCTACTCAAACAAGGCCACACCTCCTAATAGTGCCACTCCATATGGGCCTACTAAAGACCATTTTTATTCAAACCACCACAACTGCTACGCCACATGATAAAAAGAATCATTTGTGATTTTATAAAGAAGGAAGAAAACTTATACTAGTTTGACTGTTGCACCTTAAACTGTGAATGTATGTCATTAGCATTTATTAATATCAAAAAGTTATCAAATTCATGTATATATTAAAAAATGTGTTTTAGTTAGGATCTCTATTGCTGTAAAGAGACATCATGACCACAGCAAACTCTTATCAAGGAAAGAATTTAATTGAGGTGGCAGCTTACAGTTTCAGAGGTTTAGTCCATTATCATCACGGCAGGGAGCATGGCAGCTGGAAGTATGGTGGCATGCAGGCAGACATGGTGCTGGAGAATTCTACATCTTGATCCAAAGGCAACAGGAAATTGACTGATATTCCTTACCTTTTACACAGGTATCAGGAAGTTTTCTGTGTCGCTGGGTATAGTTTGAGCATATATGAGACCTCAAAACCTGCCTCTGCAGTGACACACTTCCTCCAACAAGACCACTTGTACTCCAACAAGGCCACACATCCTTATAGTGTCATTCCTTTAGGGACCATTTGCTTTTAAACCACCATGATATGAATATATAAAGTTTGATACTAACCATGGTGTCAGGCTTCTACTGGCATTCTTGGAATATATTTCGGGCAGATAAGGATTATTGTGATTTTATCTGTTCTTAATCATTTTTTCTTTATATTATTAGGGCCTGCACCTATAGAACTATGTTAAACAGGGGGAGCTTAATAACATAGATGAAAAACATCTCACTTTTTGCCTTTTATTTTTCTGTAACTCATTTAAAATTTTATATTTTAAATATTTTCAATTAAGTTAATGCCTACTCTTTTTTTTCACATTTGTGAAAGTGGTATATGTGTGATGAGCCCATGTTCTGAGACCAGAGGAGGGCATTAGGTCTTCACCTTTGTCAGTCTTCGCCTTATTACTTTGGTTCAGGAACTGTCCTTGAACATGAAGGTCGCCACACTTTTCAGCTAAGATTGGCAGCCAGGAAGCTCCAGAAATCCTTTTGCTTCCACTCCCCACAGTGCTGTGATTACGGACACACAAGACCAGTTCTGACCTGCTATGTGGGTAATGGGATCGAAACTTAAGTCCCCATGGTTGTGTAGCAAGGGCTCTTAAACAACTGAATCGTTTATCCAGCCCCCTCCACTCTAGTTTTTTTT